CTCCATATCCTCTCCAGCACTCGTGGTTTGTGGATTTGTTGATGATAGCCATTCTGACAAGTGTGAGATGGTACCTCATTGTTATTGTTGTTTTGATTTGCATCTCTCAGATGATTAGTGACTTTGAGCAAGTTTTCATATGTCTCTTGGCTTTCTGAATGCCCTCTTTTGAAAGGTATCTATTTAGGTCCTTTGCCCATTTTTTTATTGGATTGTTTATCTTCCTTTTGTTAAATTTTATGAGTTCCCTATAAATTTTGGAGATTAGGCCCTTATCAGATATAACATTGGCAAATATGTTCTCCCATGCAGTAGGCTTTCTTGTTTTGTTGATGGTTTCTTTTGCTGTGCAGAAGCTTTTTAATTTGATGTAGTCCCATTTGTTCATTTTCGCTTTAGTTTCCATTGCCCTAGGACAGTGATGGCGAACCTATGACACGCGTGCCAGAGGTGACACACGAACTCATTTTTTTGGTTGATTTTTCTTTGTTAAATGGCATTTAAATATATAAAATAAATATCAAAAATACGTCTTTTTTTACTATGGTTGCAAATATTAAAAAATTTCTATATGTGACATGGCACCAGAGTTAAGTTAGGATTTTTCAAAATGCTGACACGCCGAGCTCAAAAGGTTCGCCATCACTGCCCTAGGAGCTGTATCAGTAAAGATATTGCTTCGGCATATGTCTAAGATTTTGGTGCCTCTATATTCATCTAGTGAACTTACAGAAAGAGAGATTAAAAAAACAATCCCATTTACCATCACACCAAAAAAATTAAGATGCCTAGGAATAAATTTAACTAAGGAGGTAAAAGACCTGTGTTCAGAAAACTACAGGAAACTGAAAAAAGAGATAGATGAAGACATAAACATATGGAAGAACATAAGGTGTTCATGGATTGGTAGAATCAACATCATTAAAGTGTCCATACTACCCAAAGCAATCTATAGATTCAATGCACTCCCCATTAAAATACCAATGGCATATTTCACAGACCTAGAGAGAACTCTCCAAAAATTCATCTGGAATAAAAAAAGACCCCAAATAGCTGCAGCAATCCTGAGAAAGAAGAACAAAGTAGGAGGGCTCTCAATACCAGATATCAAGCTGTATTACAAGGCCAGTGTTCTCAAAACTGCCCGGTACTGGCACAATAACAGACATATAGACCAGTGGAATAGAATAAAGAACCCAGAAATCAACCCAAACCACTATGCTCAGTTAATATTTGAAAAAGGAGGCAAGAACATTCAATGGAGTCAAGACAGTCTCTTCAATAAATGGTGCTGGGAAAATTGGACAGATACATGCAAAAAAATGAAACTAGACCACCAGCTTACACCATACACAAAAATAAACTCAAAATGGATAAAGGACTTAAATGTAAGACAGGAAACCATAAAAATACTAGAGGAATCCACAGGCAGCAGAGAGGTATGTTCTTGCACCATTTTTCCTCAGAGGATGCTGAGGTGCAGGGAGGTTGAGAATACTTCTCAGTGGCTCATGAGAGGGAAGGGGAGAACAGAGTTGGGATTCACATCAGCACCAATTGAACCCACACCCCAGAGCCCTTCCACGTTACCATGAAGACTCCATGATGAGAAGGAGAAGACTGGGTGCAAGTTAAGTAGGCTGTGGTCTGTTCCTTACCAGCTCTGTCACCATGACCCAATGATGACCCTTTGGCATTATTTCCAAAGAATTCCAAATGTCAGGTAATCAATAGAGACCAGCTCAGACCACGATGGAATTGCAGAGTTAGTGGTAATGAGGCTTTATGTAATCCTGTACTCCACATCTCTCTGAAAAAGCACCTCATGGGATCTGTAGAACAAGAGAGAGTCTTGGAAATAAAAATTTCCAAGTGATAGAGAAGGGGCAGAGAGAACTATAACAACACCCGAGGTCACAGAAAAAGTGGCATCTCTGGGTTGGGAACCCAGGCCTTCGGCTGCTGTTGCAGGCCTCTCTCCATAGCGTTTTTCTCCCTCTGTATGTGTCTTTGTCCTAATATCCTCTTCTTATATGGATGCCAGTAATGTAGGATTAGGGCCCACCCTAAAGACCTCATTTTACTTAAATTACATTTTTAAAGATCCAATCTTCAATACAGTCACATTCTGAGATACTTACTGGGGGTCAGGACTTCAACATATGGATTGGGGAGGACCCATAACAATATATCTGTTTCTATCTATATATCTATATCTATGTCTATATTCATGTCTATATCTATATGTATATACAAATCATCATTTGTGGGGCTTATTTGAACCTGAAATAGTAATAGTGAGAACTCCTCCAAATCCTATTGTGTGACAGTGAAAGCATACATATTCCAAATCCAATTTCCCTAGCTTAATTAGCATGTGGCCCGTTAGCACAAACCTATTAGGAATGAGCATTCTCACAGTCAACTATTATCTAATTTCCGGGCTCCTGAGACCTACTGCTCCATTAATGTTGAAAGGGTGAGCACAGCTGGGGTAAGTCACCATGCTGCTGGCTGGCTGTCAGAAAGCCCATGTGGAATCAGATCTGAAAAGGTGCACTGTGGGCAGCAAGAAAGGGGCTTGTGCTGCGAGCATCCCTCGGGCCTCCGTTACTGGACTCTCTTTGAGACACATACTAGAGGCTGGAACGAACACCTGTCTGTACACAAGAGGTGCAGACGTGAATGTGGGACAGTTACTCCTTTTAAGTGTTCAGGCTGTGTGAAACTAGAAAGGGCAGACATTTCTTTCTTCCTTTCTTTTTTTTTAAGAAATCATGTTTATCCAAGAATTTGGCATATTCCCACACTCTTCCTTCCTCCCCCCTACCCCCCTTATCTCTCTTGCTCAATTATTTATTGAGTGAGGGCCTGCTGTGCATGAGGCACTCTGCTAGGTCCTGTGGGAGATAAAGAGATGACTCAGTGGGGATCTGCCATGCATGTTTTAATTCTGATAACCTGTTCCCTGTTCTGCTTTTGGTTATGTGTGCCAGCCTTGCTCTGCCAATTCTTGGCAAACCTAAAAGCCACTTCGGTGAACAGCGTCAAAGCTTCTGAACCCTTGACATTCCCCTCCTCCCTGTAGAATTGATAGCACCTCCTGTCCCCCAGCCACTGGCTCCTGACCCCTCTGGCCCTGTGATGATCACTGTGCTCATCTTGCCTCCCAGGCTGCTTTATTTTGTCCTTTTTATGAGCTGTTCCTTCTGATTCCTCCCACTTCTTCCTCCTCTCACTGCGACTCTTTTCGTGATCCACACTGATCATTCCCAATGAGCCAGCTTAGTGTGAAAGAAGAAAGGATCTAGTGATCTGCTTCATCTTAGTGAACTGTTACTTATTCTAGGGAACAAAGATACTGCTTGAAGAACTCCTTCCTTAGAGTTGAGGGTAAAAACCAGGCCTCCTAGGTTCATTTGTTCCTTGCTAAAGCCCTCACCCCATCCTAAAGTTACTTCCCAGCCACTGAACATGGGGCAGTATGTTAATTTTTTTTTCAAGTAAGAGTGGGAAGGGCATGGAGTGTAAAGAATGAGATTTCACAATGAGATTAAACCTTATGTGCAGGTTATACAATGTTAAAATTCATACCTGAAATAGAATTCAAAGCAGGCACAGGTTCTACTTGAAAATTTAATTCTTACAACTTAATTTGGCTGGGAAGAACTTGATGTTTTTTATCATATAGACACTGCCGCCGGAGTGTGTGTTCTCCCTACGCTGCCAACCCCTGGGAGACAGCCTCCCTCCTCCCCTGCTAATCAAATTCATGCCCCCCAAAAAGTCCTACCCCTCTCTGAGAGCTGCCTGGGCAGCCATGAACTTCCTGAGGTCCAGCCTCTGTGAGTCATCTTTGCACCTCAGTTACAAAGTCAGATACTTAGTAGGTTCTCAATAGAAGTGTGGGAAATCAAGAAATGAGACTTTCTCCCCTGCTAAACCCCAGGGTGTTTAGTGTCTGCACAACTCAGTCAAAAACTAACGTGCCTCCCACATTGTTAATGAGCCCCTTTGAGAGGTCAAGGGGGGAAAAGGGAGACATATGTAATACTTTAAAGAATAAAGAATTTAAATTAAAAAAAAAAGATGGAATGCTTTGTCCTTTCCACCCAGATTGCCGGTTCCTTGGGGAGAAGGGCAGTGTTCATTTTTCTCTCCGTATTCCTCTTCACTGCCTACTGCAGGGATGGCTCACAAATATTGTTGATTTGAACCCTGTTCCTTGTTGCTTGACAGCAGTGTCTGTTGGGATCCATGCTTAGAAAACCGATTTTGCAGAAGCCACAATTTTGTTGTAAATACATCTACACACGAAGTCTGGCTTCCAAGCACTTTGAATGGAGAGATAAGTGGTTATTGGCCCGTTGGTGCTCAGTTTGATGCAACCGCATTTATCCAGCAGTTACTCTGCACCTGACACTGCCCCGGGCGATGCTCCCGCCTCCCATCTCGCTGCTCAGCCCTGATCTGGGGACAGTGCTTGTCCAGCTGGCCATGGATGACCAGGGGGTAGTGCCCATGCTTCCAGACACCAGGCCTGGACCCTGCTGGGTGGTCATGGGGACCTGCTGCTTGCCCAGTGCAGGCCCCTCGGGGTGGTGCCAGCTTGCTGCCTCCTCCCCCATCCTTGGCCCTCCCTTGGGAGCCAGAATAGATTTTGCAGCGAGTTCCATGACCTGACTCCAAAAAGTCTGCACTGTGGCTTTTCAGGAAACTTCAAACTTATCTGCTTAAGAAATAATGCAAAGGGGAAATGAATGCTGGCAAGGCTAAAAGGGATTTCCGGCTGTGTCTTCCCAAGCCAGCCGGCCGGTCAGAGTATTCCCGTGGTTAATTCACTGGCATCATTTTGGCGTCAGCACCCCGGCCCCCCAACCCCCCCGGCCCCCACTCTGCCTTCCCCCAGTTCCAACTGTTGTGCTGCAGCAGGATTTGGGTTGAATCTGGGCAGAGTCCCCCTTCCCCCCCCTTTTAGGAGCAGCCCTCGGGATTCTGTTACCGCACGAGCCTGTGAAAGTGATCCTCGCCTTCCCTTGCACACAAAGGCAGGAGCTCTTTAAGGGAGCTGCCTGCTCCTCCGCACAGCTGCAAGCCAGGGCTCCTGTGGGCTCAGCCACCCAAGCTTTGGCCTGAACATGAGTGGGGAGGCGTCTTGAGGAGCCCCCAGGACACCCCGGAGCGGGGCAGGGAGGGAGCAGGCAGTCTGCGCGGATGGAGACCACCGGTCCCCGGGGATCGGATTAGGATTAGCCGCTGCTCGGGATGCTCAGCGCGCCGCTTGAGCATCCTGCCTGTGGTCCAGAGGGTGCGGGCAGCGCGCGCTGCGGAATGCCTGCGTGGATTTGACCCAGCGCCCAGAGGCGAGCCCGCATTCGGACACGGCGGATGGGCTTCCGGCCGGGCTGCGCGCAGGCAGCACGAACGCTCAGCTCCAGGCGGCTGCGAAAGCCTCCGGGCTGCATGGATTTGGCTGTTTCAGCAGCGGAGATTCCTACCCGGGAGGATCGGAGAGCTCGATCCGCGCTCCAGCTGTGACAACTTCAGGGCTGGCTGCTGACTTGTGTGGGGTCCGGGCTCCGTCGTGCCCTGCAGCCTCTCCTGCGGCTCCCCGCCCCGAAGTCTGCCGCCAGGACTCCCCTGATCGCATCCCCAGCAAGGGGGCCAAGGAGGGGTTAAAAGAAGAGCAGCAGCCCTCCCAACTACTCAACCTCTCGTGACTGCCTGGGTTCCGGGGTTCTGAGAGGGACCGTGCGCTGCCCGGGGAAGCGATGCAAGTCTCCATAGCCTGCACAGAGCACAATCTGAAGAGCCGGAATGGTGAGGACCGACTTCTCAGCAAGCAGAGCTCCAACGCCCCCAATGTGAACGCAGCCCGCGCCAAGTTCCGCACGGTCGCTATCATCGCGCGCAGCCTGGGGACCTTCACCCCTCAGCATCACATTTCTCTCAAAGAGTCCACCGCCAAGCAGACTGGCATGAAATATAGGTATGGATGTGAGCTTTCCTCTCCCCCGGGGTTGCCGGGGTCTGTACAGGTGCCGTGGACACAGTTCATCAGGTTTGCAAAGTGACTTACTTATTGGTGGGTCATTAATTTAGAATTCTCAGGTGTCCCTGATATAGCTCCTTAGGAGGGTGGGAAACCCACATTGTGGTGTGTGTGCATAGGATTTTAAAACATGCAGCCCATTTTGTATTTTCTGAAGTGTTAGGTACACCTTGGGAGCTGTATGCAATCTAGTCTGCAGGGAGTAACACAACTGCTGGGAACTGGTTTTGAGATCAGGGTAGCTTTTCAGCAGCATGTGGTTGTCCTAGTTTAGGGTACAGATGTAGTTTCTGTGATTATACGATTAAAAATAGTTTCCCATCTAGTACTCGTTCTTATTTATCTCTTGAAAAATCACGGTAACAAATGCGACGCAAACTTTTGAGGAAGTTTTGTTGCAAATTAGATTGAAGACTGACATTTAAATCTAAATTTAAGTAAAATGTAGACGCTGTTGTGAAGTATGGAGAAAAAGTCAGTTGTTGTAATACTACTAGTTTCCTCATAAATTTTTAAGGTCACTCTTCCTCTGTAGTTTTCCGTAGTTGAAAATCGTCATGGTGATAGTTGATGCTCTCTTAAATAGGGAATGACTTACATTTGAGAAGTAGAAAATTGCATTATTCAGTTATATGTCTCCTGCCTCTGCTTTGCACTGAAGTTTCCTGACTTTATTGCTCTTAAACTACTGTGTTTCTAATATCAAAGAATGTTTGCAAACGTTGAGGAGAAAAGCAAGTGAAGCATGTTCCAAAGGCTTTGGTTTCCCTAATATGCAGATATGATTTTGTCAATGATTTACATTTAACTGTCCAGCCTCTTTTTTAGGAACCAGGTTTTAGGATAGCAGGAATGTAATGCAATTAAAATAGTGCACACCCAAGATTGTTTCCCAGGTGGGATTTTTGAAATAAGCATTTAAACCAATTTCTATAAAACTTGTCCTTGAAAAAGTTTCTTTGTAGAGTTACAGGAAAGCTTCTTATTGTAAAAAACTTCAGGCACTGTTGTTTTGACATATTTTTGAGACATTAAGGAAGCAAGCTGTGAGTGGGGGTAGGGGTCAGGGCACTATAAAACATGGCTAAAACCGGACCTCAGCATAATGCAAGCAGCCAGACTCCAGGCAGCTCCGCATGTGTCAGCAGCGTGAGCATCTCTGCTTACCTGATATTCCATGATGGAGAGTGGGGCCCCACAGTGCCAGTCTGCTAACTGAGACTGCAGTCTTGAGTGCACTGGCACTTTCTATTGCTGCTTCTGTGGCACACACCCAACCCCTGCGCCGTGGACACAGCGCTGCTCTGCATCCGATTCAGCAGCTGAAATGAAGATGGGCTGCTTGCTGCTTTCCTCTGCAGGGCCCCTGGGCACGGGACACTCAGGGTTAAGGCAGATCAGAGAGGTGATTTGAATTGTGGTCTCCGGCATGTTAGCCGCACCACGAGCTTTCTTTTTGTAAACCAGAAGAAACAAAACCCCTTCCTTTCTGGTGGCAGAATTTCCTAGTTGCTTGGGTATCACTGTATTGGAAGAGATTGGTCTTATGATGGCTTTCAGACGCAGGAGATTTCTATTAAGGGTTTTCTGGTAATAGTTGCTCAGCTCAGATGGGATGATAATTGCCTCTCTTTACCAAAAGGTGTGCAAGTAAGAGTCACGTGGGCACCTCTCATTACTGGTAACTAAAACCTGCTCTTTTCGGACAAAAAGGTAGCCACCTGTGGTCTTCAGTGTACTCTGACTTTACTAGTATTATGCTATTTGTTGTTTATGGTGACTGGATAAGATACCTGGTCTCCACTCCCCCTCTTATTCTGAACCTTCCTATCTATGACAGGCAGGTGGTTTTGTGTGTGAGTATGACTTAACCCCTCTCTTTTTCAAATTCTACTCAGAGTGACCTTAGGGAAAAAAATAATGAGATTATGCCAAATGTACACTAAGATTTTCTTAGTGTTGGAGAGACAGAGGTGAGAAGAGAAAGAGGCTAACTATACACTTTAAAAACAATGAAAGGAATTGCTTTATTAGCCCAGTTATCTTTTTTCTTTGAAAATGATGTCACTAAAATATAATATCCATGTGTAGACTATTGATTGATGATAACAAATAGCAAAACATAAAATATAATGCCATAGCCTTGGGGAGGGAATTGGCTTACGTAAGTGATCAGGGAAATGTCTGAAGGAACTAGAATGGAAAGTCACTGTCTAATTGTGTTTATAATAATACTTTTATCCTTGTCCTGCCCGGGTGACTCAGTTGGTTGGAGTGTCATCCCATATACCAAAAGGTCTAAGGTTTGATTCCTGATCAGGGCACTTACCCAGGATGCAAGTTTGATTCTCTTTTGGGGCACATACAAAGGAAACTGATCAATGTCTCTCTCTCTCCCTCTCTCTCTCTCTCTCTCAACATATCCTTGGGTGAGGATTAAATAACAATAATTGCCGGGAGCCGGTCCATGCTTGCTGTTTCAAGGGACCTGGCATATATGGCATACTGTTCTTAATATGTTTGCTCACCTTCTTGGCACTATGTGTTTTAACCAAGGTCTCTGAGAAAGGTTGTTTCCCCAGGTAGGGATTTTCCCCTGAAGTTAGGGAGGGAATAAAACCTCTTAACTAGTGCCAGGTGGGTAATTAATCACTTTAACTACGAACAATCATGCTTAAGCTACATAATCTTTACTCCCTGGAATGGAGATAAGAAACGCCCTAACCTTTGTAATAGAGATTGATAGGATTGAATCAACTGGTATAAATACAGATGTAATAAGACAGCAAGACACAGAACTTAGAATACAGAACCAGGAGAGACGGAACCTAGGCACAGAACCTACACAGAACGTTCTCTAGAGACAGAAGAACTTCGCTGGAGAGAACACGGCAAAAGATCCTGGACAGAAACTGGCCTCAGAACCTAGAGACAGAACCTAGCGAGAGAACATGGCAAAAGATCCTGGACTGAACCTGACTACAGAAATTGGCAAGAGAACCTGACTAGAACCTGGTATCTGAACCTGGCTGGAGAACCTGGACAGAACCTGGCTGGAGAACCTAGCAAGGGAACATGGCTACAGAACCTGGCTGGAGAACCGGGAGAACCTAGCAAGAGAACATGGACACAGAACCTAGCTGGAGATCCTAAGCAGAACCTCTCTGGAGATCCAGACCAGAACTTGGCTGGAGATCCTGGCTGGAGATCCTGGCTAGGCTGCTGATCAACTGAACGCTGTCTCCGTGTCATTCCTTCTTCGCCGACTCCGTCCACACCTTTGGGGACCCCTGGACCCGCTGGGGCTGGACCCTGGCAAATAATAATATTCTTATCCTTGAAAATTATTTCATTAGGCATAGCTTAATAGGGATCCACAAACCCTAGAAGATAAAGATTATTATCTTTTTGTGTATTTTTTGAGGAGAGGGTTCATAGCTTTCATCAGAATTTGAAAAGTGTCTACCACTCAAAAATTGTCAAAAAGCAGTGTTATAGAATAAAGAGATATTCATTTAGTCAACAAATATTTACTGCGCACCTATTCTGCACCAGGAACCTTACTGAACTGGGTGCACAAAGGTATGGAAACCAGGCAAGGTTTGGGGCTTACACTCAGGTTGGGAAAACAAACAAGCAAATAAACAAACAATAATCTATTGTAAGACAGTCCCATGAAGGATATGTTTTGGAGGGAGATAGTCATGCCTGGGCCAACTTAGTTTATCCGTTTTGAGGCTATCATCTCTGCTTTAGTTTCAGGACTATGACTGCATCTTGAGGCACAGGTAATTGTGTCCATATCTGCCACCTGTTTTGCCACCCCAGGGACTTCTTTTAGGTACCAATCATGCTGTAAGGTGCTGCCTGGCCATTGAGGACTTATCTATAACCCTGATAAATAAATAGAATGCCTTCTGCTCATATAATTGCTTTATGATTTTTAAAGCCCAACTCATATCATAGTCTGTGATTACCATTCATTAATCAAGAACTCATGAACTTGGATTTTAGAAATAATATACACTTGTGTGAAGCATCTGAATTCTGTAAGAATAAAGTGCTCAAATCCACTATTAGACCCACACTACCACTGTGCAAGAATCTCGCATAAAATTAGCTATTGTTTCAAGGCTAAGGATGGAAAAATAATCCATGAGAACAATTTGCTACTCAATGATACTGTCAGCCCAAAGAACAAGATTCCACGTAATGTTTATCCTGGGACTGTCCTACATGTAAATAACAGAACTATTTATTACATTTCTTAGAGTGTTTACACTTGTGCTTTGTTAATGCGTTTGTATTTCTTTATGTTAATTTTGTGTGTTTTTAATCTCAGACTTCATTAGACCATGCTAGAGTCTGATGTACAATCTGCAACCATATGTGATAGCTGTAGATACACACATGAGCCTTTCATCCTAAGAAAGTCAAATCACTCAGAACCGAAGTTAAGCCAGATTGGTTTGGTTATTTTTGCTTGTTTGGTTGTTGGTATCATTTTTATAAGTCTTTAGAATGATTCAGCTACTAGATTTTACATCTTCTCAGTGCTTTTGTCATTCAGAATTGAGCACATTTGTACTGATGAGCTACCTCCAATTCTATCATTGTTACTTTAGCTTTAGAGCAATTTGAATACTCATGGATGCAATTTCATTGAGAAAAATTTTCTCTGTAACACATACATTCACGTCAATATAGTCTGTGTTGTATAGTTACATAAGACATGCTAAAATTCTTAAGAGGATTCTTTACCAGAAGTATTGACTGAGCAATAATCTGAATTCCACTAAAAAACTTCTTTTTCCAGTTTTTTAGGTCAATCACGTTACCACTTCTGTCATTTAAAAGTTTTTAAAATAATTATAGATTCATAGGAATTCACACACACACACACACACACACACACACACGGAATTTCCTTGTACCTT